CAAGAAATACAGGAATTTTTAAGGATTTACACTACTAAAAGCTTCCTTAAAAGATATAAACAAGATATTTTGGAAAGCAGTAAAACGGGCAAAGAAATTACACTAAAATTTGTGTGAAATGGGCACTATTATTTAAAACTTGTTGAAATGTGGCACTTTTTAAAATACATTTTTAATTAAAGCAGATAGCAGGGATTGGAGTAATTACTATATTAGTCTTTGACCAGAAAATAAAATTATTTGCCCCCCCACGACTTACTTTTTCAAAAAGGAAGAAATAGTGCTTATAGTGGTATATTTTTTTAGCTTGATCATCCTGAGAAGCTTTTATGATGGGAAGTAAGTATGTGGTACATTTTTTCTCCTTGAAAAAAAAATTACACTAGCCCTTTTGTGGTCTAATTTTCGTAACCCCCTTTAAAAATCTCAAAAATGAAAAATACTTCATTTAAAAGATGGCCAAACCAGCTTGCAAAAGTTTTGTTTTGTCTTTTATATGTGACAGAAATATTTAGAGAACAAGGTCACCCAAGGGGTGACAAGATTTACATATACGTATAGTAAAATTACTGTAAAAAACCCTTAAAGGGTCCAAACAGATCACATTCAAATTCGTAGATCACTTTTTTTTACATTTTTTCAAATGAAAAACAAAAAAGATCTACATTTTTTACATACTTTCAATGTGAAAAAAACTATATATACTTTGGCCCTTTTGGGGTTTAAAAGGGTTTCCAAAAAAAAAATTTTGGCACAAATAAAATTTTACAAAGTTAAAATTATGTCCGTTCCACACACGAGGTATCTTAGGTATATCACTGAAATTTCCCACTCCATTTCGGGGAATTTCTTGACGGTGATGTACAAAAAAGGGCCCCTTATTAACCCTTGGCATTTAAGTTTTAAACTACAAAAGAATCTATGTTTCCGTTTTCAAAATTATACCAAACCTTAAAAAAAATTAACTGGAGCATCAAAAAATTTTTTAAAATTGGAAGAATATTAAACAGAGCAGAAATAAAATTTTATAAAAATTTGTGGTATTAATCTCGGGTTTTTGGTGTAATGCATAAAAAACTTTTTTCTTTTGTGGTTTGCAAAAGGGGGTAATATACAAAAAAAGAATCATGGACAGAATCGTACTGTAACATACTTCATTGTTTTAAAAGTAATGGATTTGCATTAAATTTATCTTAAGACATTACCCCCCTCCCCCTGCTATTCAACATCCTGTAATTACCTCTTTGGGATATTTCTTGTGTACTCTCTATCTTTTTAGAAGTGATTTGAGAAAAACTTAATTTCTTACATAATGATAGAGGCAAGTAGGCATGGCACAAAGAGGAAAAATGACAAAGGAAAAAAAGTATTCAACCAAATAATGTTTGCAATTGACTCTTGACAACCTACATATGATGCTGTAATTACAAGTTGAATAAATTGTTTGGAAAAAAAATTATTTAAGGCCAAGCCCAAAATTTGCAATTGCTTAACACTTATTACCACAGTGTAAATGAGGTTCAAAGGTATTTTTGTGTGTGGGAGGGGGGCGTACAACCCTCTAGCACATAACAGGTAAATATGCATTAGTATGCTATGAGCTGATATAACTAATCCTGTTTCATATTAATGGCCAACTTATGGTTGGATGACAGCATTAGAAAACTATGATTATATATATAAATTGTAATATTGTAACTGTCACATTTGATCAGATGACAAATTATAGCTGGTTAAAGATAGCTACAGGATAAAGTTTAGCTAATCTCAAGTAATTACTGTAACCCTGAATCTCATCTAAAATTTAAGGCTTTAAATTATATTCCACTTGTAATCCCATCAAAGCTCATCATACCCACTTTTTTAATCTATAACAATATTTGGCAAATTCCAAAGCATCAAGATGAAAGTTGGTACTGCACAAACCAATGGTGCTGAGTTATGAATCTTAAGGCCCTAACTAGGAGTGAAATTTAACAATATATTCAACAGTTACATTAATAGACAGAGATATACACACATGACCAAGAAGTAAATGGGGTATTCTCTATGAAAGAAGTTGAAGAATTAACTTCCTTAGTACCATATTATACACTTCCTTTTATGACATGTTATACATGAAAAAACCTGAATTAGTAAATTTTATGCCAGTTTGGTTTGCACAGCAACACAAACAATGCACTCAAATACGGCAAAAGTGTAACAACTGACAATTATATTTATCTTTGTCATGACAGGAAAACATTAAGACATTTTGTCATGTGGCTCAAAAGTACTTGATGCATTAATACATCAAACACAATTGGACATGTCACACTAGTGGTTAGTAGCAAATATGTTAAACAGTGGTACAAAACATACAAATTGGCAGGTGGAAAAAAGCTCGCATGTTCTTCTCATGATTTATGAGTTTGGAAATTAGTTAAGCGGTGTTATGGTCTAACATGATGGGACTATCATTTGGCAATTGCTGCAGTCATAAGAAAAATGTAATGTGGCAAATTGTTTTAAATTTCTTCATATTTTTTGAAATGCCTGTGGCACCTGGTGTTTGACCTGCTTCTGGTGGGATACACTAGTGTTGAGAATAAGGCAGCCATAACAATACTGAAGAGAAGCGAAACTTAAAGCATGAAAGTTTTGTTTATAAGTGATAAATTGTCATAAATGGTCATGGAAGTGGGCTGCAGGGACATTTACCCTCAACACCCTTCAGGTATAGTGCAGTGACCTTGGCAAAGAATTACAGTATATGTAAACAACTGTGCATCAATACCTTAACGAGTGACCCTTGTGATGTCCTATATGAAAAATTTATTGCACAACTTTAAGATGTGGCCAAGATGGATGCAAATCTTATACTAACAATCATCATAAGTAGTATCTTCTTTACATGCTTTGTACACTCCATTATCGCCTATCAATATTCTAAATTTGTTGTGGACCTATAACTTCCTGTTATAGCTCTGAGGACATAGCAAATTATACGTGAATTATTAATTTTAGCTTTTATTATAAAACATGAGTAACAATAAAATACTCACTCCAGTACTCAGACAAGCCAGTGATATAAATAAAAAAAATTATTTATACAAAGTTTGCATAATGTCCATTCTTTGCTGTGTTTAATTTCACATGATGAAATACAGAAATTTATGTTGCAGATTTTTCTGGTACCATACAAACAGGTCAAGATCTATTTACATGTTGTCTATCAATGGCACTAATCATCAGTTCATAAGCATATATTTTTAATCAAAGTTCATAAAAAGCACACACGACCGAACTGATCGAGTACACCCAGTGGGAAAACTACAAAAACTATTCATGTAAAACTATGAACTAAAGTATTCAGATTTTATTCTCTCATTTCATGTGGTATCAAAATTCAGTAAACTGCATTACTCAAAAGACTATTATTAAAATCTTAATTTAGATCGAATGTCTCACCCCCTAACAAAATATTTTTTTTTTTTTTGTAAATAAAATGGCATATGTCAAGTCTCCAGAGTGCTCTCAACATATTGCAAACACCATGCAAAAATAATCTACATATTAACGTCTTTAAATATATGACATTACATATCAGGATTTTTTTTTTTTTTTACAGAAACACAAGAGAGAACTTTTGATGAGATTAACCTGAACGTACATACTTCTTAAATAATTTAATTTGTGATGCTCAAGTATCGAAAGTAATATGAACAACAAATAATGATCAATTTACCTTTACAACAACAGCTTCAGATGTAACTACGTGGCAATTCTAGGCATGAACACTTAAGATATAGCATTTAATTACATTAACTGTAATGCAACATTTTAACAATTTATAATATAAACTGTTTAATTCAATTTAAGCATACTTTAATTTTTTTTATCTACCGTGTGTTGTCTAAACATACAATCTTAACAAAACTTTTGCAAACTTATTAACCCCGACACATGCATACAAATGCTGTACTTTATATTTGACGTACCAATAAAAAATATTTGAGCAAACGGACAATGCTTTTTTCCACTTTTTTTACGTCACACTCATGATTGTAGTTTAAATCAACACACTCAAATTACCACATAGAAGCTGTGTGACAGCAAGGAAGGGGGGAACAATAAAAATGGGGAAGGAATTAACCACTAAATTCAAGGTATTTCTGCTCTAGGGTTATCTAATAAAATTTACGATGTAATGTAATGTATAAAACTTAAAACAACTGGGTTTTCTGAAAGGTATGTATGACCTTGTGCAACTTTGTAAAATACGAAGTCTGCAACTTATATTTTTGATGGGTTCATCAGACACACTAATGAATGGGAATTATCATTACTTATGCAGTCAAATCTTGCAATGATTTATTACACTATCAAATATAAGCAATCCCTTGTTTAAGGAAACAGTAATGTTACAACCTATGAAAGCATATCATGACTCAAAAGTTTTATACTGTAGATAACTGTGTAATCAAGTATTTGTACTCACCAATTTGTATTTATAGGAGTTGAGTCTTAACTCATGACTCTACGCTTTGTCAAAGAGCATTGCTGGTTTCTATTCTCTTCAGCCCTATCATATCTACTCTTAACTCTATATGGAGTTTGCCTCCATTGTTACATCTAGTTCACTCCCCTTTTCTACTACCAGGCTGTGATAGATATGTGGGGCAGCTGGGCACCTGCAGCAACAACCTGGTTGACCAGGCAAACACAAAACGAGCCCGGCCCATGGCCAGGCTCCGTGAGTAGATAAACTCGGAACTCATCAAGGACAACAATAGTGATACCGAACATCTATATCCTAACATCCCTGTTACCTGTGATTTTATCTTCCAAGTCCCCTTGCTCCTTTTCCTCACATTTCCAACAGTCTGTCCACATCCGCTTTATTAATTCCTCTAAAGAACTGCATATCAAAAATCATGTCTTCCCTAGTCCTCTTGTCCAGAGTTGTCAGTTCATTTTTTTTAACAACTTACTATTGTTCACTCGCTTCAGCTCTGCTTAACATGCTTTATCAAATGAGGGTTCCATCATGGTACTGTGAATTTTAAGACAGGCTTAATTACATTGTTCACAGTGTCCTGAAAAGAAAGGATTCTTTACTAAGGTTTCTAAAGCCTATTCCGAGATTTGTCATTCTCACCTAATGTTAAATTAATGCTCAGATAGAGGATATAAATCTATAACATTTAAATACTGTATTTCGGTGTGGATGTGTCACCAGCTGAACAGACATAGGAAGTAAGAGTGCTAAGTAATTTGTGGATAGTTTGCTAATGGATGGATAGAAAAAAAAAAATGCAGTATATCAGTAAATATTAGCACAAAAGCTTTTATATGTGGAGAATGGTATCTGAATAATGCAGCAAGGAAGAGGCTGGTGAAAATGTGTGTGGTGTGAATACAGTACCATGCAAAGAACAAAATGTTAAAATGAAAATTGCATAATTCAAAGAGCTGAATAAGGGTTGAGATGGTTTTGTCATGTAGAATGGGAGGAGCAAGAAAGATCAATATAAAATGTATAAATATGAGGTGGAGGAAAACTCTGACAAAGAAGGACTAAAGGGAGAGCACGAAGATGGTTTCTAGATGTAGGAGCCTGATTGTCCAGCAGCACAAGAGATGAGATCCAGGCAAGCAATATTAGGGATGTGGCATACTGTTGATGCATGAGAATGGTAATATCTAGGAAAGGGTTCTTAAAAACTAGTTAGTCGGACTAGAGTTTTAAAGATGAGTATTTTAGAATGATGGGTAGGGATTTTGTGATTTGGGGGATCATTTCATTGTGACATTCCTGTACTTCAGGAAGATGATTTAGGAAGGAAGCAATGGGAAATTTATTATTTTTTTTGTTTAGGGGCAGAGAACACCCTGCCTTGGTGGAAAATAACTGTTACAAGAAAAATCAACATTATTATTATAAATCAAAGAGCTAAACCCATAAGGGTCAGTTACGAGAAAGAGATTTTGAATGAAGAGTGATGGAAATTCTGAGTTTTTCTGAAGTGTTAAATAACAAGAGATAGAGAAACAAATATGTCATCCATCCGAAGAAATGTATGCTGAACTGGACAGAAGACAGGATACGACAGTTGAAGTGCTTCAGCAACAACACTGTTGACATTTTCAGAATAATGATAATACAGTAATAAAAATGAAATCTACCAGTGTTTACTGCTAATGAAGATGTTCAATCTAATAAGCTTTTCACTCTCTCGGAAAACACTCGTATCAATGGTGATGGTAGTTGTCAGGAAACAATGTCTCCTTGCACAGGTCTTATTATAACCCATTTGGTGGTTATGCATCTGCTGGCCTACCAGGGCTAGGCTTAACAGCCTACTTAAAGAACAAGGACCACTACATAGCAGTGAATCCTAAGAGAAGATACTGATACCCTTACAAGCATGGTGGTGGTGGTCACAACAAGAAACCAAATATTTTAGCTACAGAAAGTAGATGCTGAATCCCACGTTATCCTTAAATACTACTTTAATTTTGCAATCAATATGGCAGTTTTTGCCATTTAAAAGCATTGTAAAATAAAAAGTATTATCATGTAATCCCAGAAATTATAACATCTTGCTACAATAAATCTCACGTAACTAATTTTGCTTATTGTTCCCATGAAGGACAGGTACCTACTCAAGAAACCTAAATAATAGTCCTGTAAAATGTTGTGTGCTTCCTCCAATAGCCAAACAGTAAGACATTTGAGTAAAACACAAACTATGTACCTACTGTATTTACATAATAGTAATATCACACAGCATAATGCACTGCAATACTCTTCAAAATAAATCACCTCTTTCTTTAATCTTTTAAAATTTTTGTACATACAGTAGCAAAATACTAATACTTTGTGTCATTTAAAAGAAGAAAATCATTTCACAGCATGACAGTGTTTTTGCAGAACAAGTCTAGACTCTGGCAACTGCTCTGCAAACACACACTTTACCATGCTTATCAGAGTGGTCAGTCAGTCAAACAAGCAGCTTCAAACATCTGATGGCTTACAGTTTTAGTTCTATAATATACCAGATAAGAATACTGTCAATATCTTCACTATCACTTCATTCAGGATGGCAACAATACTGAAATATGAACTAAATCTGAAGGAACTTGGTGGTTTTTGTGGAATTGTTGCAAATTACTTGGATAAGTGAGCTGCTTTTCCAGATAGCTGTCATGTTTTTCAGGCAGGTTTGGTCAAATAAACTCTAAATTTTTCTTTATAAATTGACTTTCGCATTTTGAAAAATATACTTTTGTTAATTAACATGGTATGCAAAAATGGTTTTGACCTAAAATTTAAAATAACAAATTCTAACCTTGCTAAATTTAAAAAATGGCCAGAAATAATGTAATATATTTTAATTCTACCTAACTAATCTTAGGTCAGCTTACATTTAAATAACATTTTGTAGCAGCAATGAAATGTATTAAAGTTGAATAATTCTTGCATCTTTTAGTGGAATTACTAGAAATAATGAATTTACACTGCTTGTTTGGTAAAACAATCAATGTTTACATGCCAAGATTGCAAACTATGCCTGAAAAACACAACACAACCACATTAGTAATTATAAGTTGTTAGCATACACACTTCAGTAACTGAGGGAAGTGAAGAGTTCAAGAACTATTGGGGGGGGGATATAATATGTATTCGTAATAATGTATAAAGGACAGTTAACATTTACTTTACAGCATGTATCTTAACATGTATAAATATAAATATTTAATTCCAAAAACTGGCCACACACAAATTGCATGAATACTGTAAAACAAACATGATGATTGCCATTATTATTCTGAAAGTTGTCTTTGGTTGCTACTCAAGGAAAAAAAACTTACTGAAAGAACAAGTTACAATGACAGAGCTGGAACAAGTCACAGTTAGCCCACATTTTGGAGAAGAAACTTTAGACAACATATTCATCAGCTTGGTAATAGTCAAGGACAAACTGATGCATCACCTTAAGTTTCCCCTCTAAATTGTAGAGAAATTGTATAACTGAAGATCTCAAATATACCATAAAGTACACTGAAAAACAAATCTTAATATAGATACAATAGTTTTTTTTTTTAGCAATGTACATTATTTAACTTTGCATATTACTGTATTATACATGCTTGACAACTGCAAAAAATTATAACATAGGACATAAGGGGCAAGTTTTTTATGAGCATCTATACAAACCTTTACATTCATAAAGAAAATTAATTTTGTTTCCATAAATATGATTAGAACACTGACATGCTTTCTTCCTTAGTATCATATGGGAGACCTAGAAGTTTAACAAGTTACACCATTTCAGTTTAAATGAAAGATTTCATCAAATTATTTTTTTTAAAGAATGCTGATACAAACACAATCTTCATAAGAAAAGGATTTAATGTATAACTGGCAGAATGTAATTTAACACACACATAGCTGTTTCAGTGCGTAAAATTTGTCTGTGTGAATTTCGGATGGTGTACACTTCATAACTACTGACAACGTTACTCTGGGACCGTGTACTTCGTGCTTGACAACGCATTCGTGTTTTTGTGGGGCTACCTCTAATGCCAGATTTAAGCAGGATGGGCAAGGAAGGTTTTACTGAAGCTGTTGGTAAAGTACTTCGGGTGGTTCTGTAGTCTCTCTCTCCAACAAGTCTCTTGATACTTCCCAGGTGTGAATGTCTCCGAAAGTGTGAACTAGATTTCAATAAACATCTTCCAATTCTTTTGAGTTCTTTGCATTCATCACTCAAAAGACCAGAAAGTTCACGGTTCATTTTCACTAATTTTTCTGATGTTTTTCTCCCTCTCGTATCTGAATTCTGAACTTTTTCACTTCTGTGTCGATTTGGAGACTTTGTTTTTGAGTGGTATATAGGAGGATCATCTTCATCTGAACTGGTATTCAGATATTTTACATCTTCTAAACCAACAAAATCAGAAGGATGGAAGCCTGTTCCACGAAGCTCTTTATACTCATCTTTTCCTAGATTGGTTAATTCTCTATGCAGAGATTTAAACCTTCTAGGCTTTGTACTTTGAGCCTTTGGTTGAGCAGTTGATTCAGACACTTCAACCTTCCCAGTTTTGATAGATAAACTATTTGCTGCAGAATTTTTTTCAGCAGTGCTCCGAACTAATGGCACATTGTCATATTTGTCTGAACACTTATCTATTTGCGATTCTTCAGGGGCTGGAATTTGAGCTTGTAAAGCACCACACTCCTCTGCAGTCTCACCCATAAACTCAGGCCTTACATCTGACTGGGACATGACTGAAACCTCCACACCATCTCTAACTTTACCTTCTACAGTTTCACACTGGGTATTTTTTAATACTTTCTTTACCTCTGGATTAACAAATTTTGAGTGATGCAAACCCATGCAGCTAATTTCCTCACTATCTCGGGCAAGTGATTGCAATTCTTTTACAAACATTGAATTCCCATGGCTAATTTTAAATTTCTTAATACATTTCTGCAGTTTTGTACGATGTTCCTTTAACTGCCCCATTGTCATCAGAGCAGGAGTAATGTTCTTAACTGGGTGAAATCCTTTATGCTGCATCTCCTTCCATTCATCATGAGCTAGGTTTAAAAGTTCTGTGGTACTTATATTATTACCTAATCTTCTTTTCATACTTGGCACATCATTTATACCTCTTGCTGTGTCACTATTTTTGTTACCTGTTTCAACTTGGTCTCTGACAGGCAGTTCACTGTGTACTATGCTTTTTGTAAGCTTATTAGAGGTATTAACTAGCCGATTTTGATTATTTTTATCTGAATATCCATTTTCACGAAGTGCATTGTCTATTATAGTTTCTCTGTACTCTTTAGTGTTTTCAGAATACAAGCCAAAACTTCCTTGTCTAGAAACATTCTTTGGTGAATTCTCATACGAATTTTCATCAAAAGTCAAATATGAGGAAGAATTCCCGTTTTCATCTGTGCAAGGTATATAATCCCTTGGTATCACTGAAGGACCCAGGTGATATGAATTAGAAGTACCACTTATTTTAGATTCTGTAATAGCTCTAAAGTTACAGTTATCTGTGGAAAGTAATCGTGACGTAGTTACATTTTCACAGTTATTTGTAGGATTTAGATCTTGGCAGTAATTTAAACTGATGCTGTTTTTTCTTCGGGCTTTGTTAGGAATAAATCTTTCTAACGATCTTCTAGTTAGTCTAGTATCCTGCAGATTTAAGTGTCTCAGCTCTCCCAACCCCATACACCTAAGTTCCCTGCACTCATCCCCAAGAAGTTTGAGGACTTCCATACTTAGACACTTTTCCTTACGTGAGTGTTCACTGTATGAAACTTCTACACTTTGTTTCGCAGTATTTTCTTCTTGAAAAGATTTTCCTACACTTGACATTCTACTGTGACACCTACATGACACATTCTCACTTAGAGTCAAACTGCCCATATACTTATGCCTTGTATCACTACTTCCATGAATTCCTATTACAGATTTTAAGAGGTCCACACCCTTATTAAATGTATTCACAATACTACCAATAATTCCATCACCTGGAGCTTCCACTGCGGTACAGTGTTTATCTTGTGCATCTGTTGTTGATAATGGAGTAACAGGCTCCGTGGTGTTGTTATACTCAGTGTTACTACATTTTGCAGGTGGAATACTGAACGAGATATCTTCATCTACATTAAAAGGAGACTTAAAACTAATGTCTTTATCTATTATAAACATCTCAGATAACTTATGGGAATATTTTCTGCTTCCAAAGGCACCATTCTTATTCAATACCTTGAGAAGAGTAGCTTCAGTTAAAGGTGATAAGTGAGCACTGTTCAACTCCTCTGGAGTGGCAGGAATAATCTCTTCAGGGATTACAGTTATCTGGTTGTCTGCAACATTAGACACAAAGCCTTTTGAGAGTGGAGACGTATCTGTAACTTCCCTCTCTGTAGACATCTTCACCCCTTTATTAGATACATCTAAAATTATCATCTTTCCACCAACACGTGGAGGTTCTTTACTTTTTCGCTTACGGCTATTGCCCTTTGTTTCTGGGCCTTGGGTGACTGGTGGTGGAACTGTAGCATTAGGTAGGAACAAAACACGTGGGACGGGTGAATTTGCTATACTGGGCGGGACGTTCGGCGGCTCGCCATTGGTCGCCAAGTCCCCTACGCGTCCGGCTCCACAGTGGGACTTCTGTTTTGACGACCAATGGCTACTCCCATTTTTTGACAAGGAATAATCAGAGGAATCTGGCACTTTAGCACCAGTATGGGGATAACAGGCAAGGCCATCCAGCTGCTGTGGGGCATTGTCTGCTTCACTTTGGCCACGAGCCCGAATGTCGTCATCATCACTGGAGAGATCAATTATTTCAATAGAGTTTGTAGCATTGTGTGTTAAACTAGAGAGAGAAATGCTGGTATTGTCAAGTGACACTGTACTACTATCCCTCTCTGATATGTGAGGCACTAAATGGGAATAAATATTTTGACTGCCCTTTGGCATTTTTTCAGTTTGGATGGGTGTATGGTGTCTATTTTGTCCTTGATAATCTGAAGACCCATACCTAACTCCACTAGGAATTTTTACACCTGTTCTCAAATCACTATGACTTCCTTCACTAACTTTCAGTCCCTGAACATTTGACTGAGGATCACAAATACCATATTTTTTCCTTGACAGTGGCTTCAATATATCACTGTTTACTTTACTATTGCTTGAATTATGCATAATAGGGGAATTTAGTGGAATCAGAGATATGTCTGCAGAAGAGGAAGAACTCAGCTTCAAAGGAAAGCCTGTTCCATCAACAGGATATGATGATGTCTGCCCTAATTCATTCTTACTGAGTTGACTCAAGTGAGACTGCTGGGCAAAAGCAGATTGCAAACGCTGTGATGTGAAATGCTGGTTTCCTGGAGAAGATACCGGAATAAATTTTAGTGAACTTTGTTGAATTGCAGCACTTGCATTTAGTTCACTTAAGTCTAAATCAGGATTATACTTTGAAGAAAGCCTATTGTGAAGAATTCCTCCAGAGTGTAATATTCCACTTCCCCCAGGAGCACACACATCATCAGTAATTTGTGGTAAACCACAGAGCCACTGCATAGTACCAGCAACTCTGCCAGATGATGATGCTTCAGGGGTGAACAGGTCTTCACCTGTGCCCAACTGTATATTTTCATTACTCCAGGATGCTGTTCCGGAAGAAATGAAATTACTGTTAGGCAGCAAAGTCTGATATCCATCGTAGATCCATTTGTTGTCTGCTTGACACTCTTCAGTCAGATCAATACATGGGGCTGTTGGTCCTCCCAATCGCATAATTCTATCCACCAGCCTTTTCTGTAGACGCTTCAATTTAATCTTCAATGGCCGGCACAGTCTCAGCAATCGTCTGCTTCTCCAATTCAAGCCTGAAAAAAATAAAAAAAATGAAGAGATAAAGAAAATACTAAAACACATTGGAGGACAGTAATACTCCAGTGATAAGTGTTGCCTCTACGCTGACACCCTTACCCGTGACAATGTTACCGCTTACACTGATACCTACCTACCTGGTGATGCTTCTGGAAATCATCGGTTCCTTGGCCCAGTCTCAGACCAGGCTTCTTGGTTGACGTCTTGGTCAGTCAGGCTGCTGGCACTTGCGCCACACAGTCCAACGAAGGCACCACAGCCCAGCTGATCAGGAACAGCTTAGAGAAACTTGTCTGTTAGTAATTCCTCTTATATTTGAAGGAAGGGTGATGCAGAGCATTAGCCCCTTCAAGCTTAATGTACTGTACATCACTCCTGCATTTCATTGGGGCCATTGTGCACAGTTTACCATGCCTCCTGCTATCATAAGGAAGTATTTCTGTATGCAGATTCAGAACCAGTCCCTATTAGTATTTTCCGGGTTATATAACCAGCTTGGTCTGTCAAGAGAGCATTGAACTCCAGTACCTGGGACCATTATGTTTCCCAGTGATACTACTATTGCTATACATAATATTGCCCCTGCTGCCTAGTCCTACTAAGCTGGAAAGGATTTTTTTCTTTTTTAACAAGTCGACCATCCCCCATCGAGGCAGGGTGACCCAAAAAGAAAGAAAATCCCCAAAAAGAAAATATTTTCATCATTCAACACTTTCACCTCACTCACACATAATCACTGTTTTTGCAGAGGTGCTCAGAATACAACAGTTTAGAAGCATATATGTATAAAGATACACAACATATCCCTCCAAACTGCCAATATCCCAAACCCCTCCTTTAAAGTGCAGGCATTGTACTTCCCATTTCCAGAACTCAAGTCTGATTATACAAAATATCCGGTTTCCCTGATTCCCTTCACTAAATATTACCCTGCTCACACTCCAACAGCTCATCAGGTCCCAAAAACCATTCGTTTCCATTCAATCCTATCTAACATGCTCACGCACGCTTGCTGGAAGTCCAAGCCCCTCGCCCACAAAACCTCCTTTACTCCCTCCCTCCAACCTTTTCGAGGACAACCCCTCCTACCCTGCCTTCCTTCCCCTATAGATTTATACACTTTCCATGTCATTTTACTTTGATCCATTCTCTATAAATGACCAAACCACCTCAACAACCCCTCTTCAGCCCTCTGACTAATACTTTTATTAACTCCACACCTTCTCCTAATTTCCACACTCCAAATTTTCTGCATAATATTTACACCACACATTGCTCTTAGACACGACATCTCCACTGCCCCAACCATCTCCTCACTGTAGCATTTACAACCCAAGTTTCACACCCATATAAGTGTGTTGGTACTACTATACTTTCGTACATTTCCTTCTTTGCCTCCATAGACAACGTTCTTTGTCTCCACATATACCTCAACGCACCACTCACCTTTTTTCCTTCATCAATTCTATGATTAACCTCATCCTTCATAAATCCATCCACCGACACGTCAACTCCCAAATATCTGAAAACATTCACTTCTTCCATACTCCTCCTCTCCAATATGATACCCAATTTTTCTTTATTTAAATCATTTGATACCCTCATCACCTTACTCTTTTCTATGTTCACTTTCAACTTTCTACCTTTACACACACTCTCCCAAACTCGTCCACTAACCTTTGCAATTTTTCTTTAGAATCTCCCATAAGCACAGTATCATCAGCAAAAAGTAACTGTGTCACTTCCCATTTTGAATTTGATTTCCCATAATTTAATCCCACCCCTCTCCCAAACACCCTAGCATTTACTTCTTTTACAACCCCATCTATAAATATATTAAACAACCATGGTGACATTACACATTCCTGTCTAAGACCTACTTTTACTGGGAAGTAGTCTCCCTCTCTTCTGCACACCCTAACCTGAGCCTCACTATCCTCATAAAAACTCTTCACAGCATTTAGCAACTTACCACCTATTCCATATACTTGTAACATCTGCCACATTGCTCTCCTATCCACTCTATCATATGCCTTTTCTAAATCCATAAATGCAATAAAAACTTCCCTACCTTTATCTAAATACTGTTCACATATACGCTTCAACGTATACACCTGATCTACACATCCCCTACCCACTCTAAAACCTCCTTGCTCATCTGCAATCCTACATTCTGTCTTGCCTCTAATTTTTTCAATAATAACCCTACCATACACTTTTCCTGGCATACTCAGTAAACTAATTCCTCTATAATTTTTACAATCTCTTTTGTCCTCCTTCCCTTTATATAAAGGGACTATACATGTTCTCTGCCAATCCCTAGGTACCTTCCCCTCTTTCATACATTTATTAAACAAAAATACCAACCGCTCCAACACTATATCCCCCCCTGCTTTTAACATTTCTGTCATGATCCAGTCAGTTCCAGCTGCTTTACCCCCCTTTCATTCTACATAATGCCTCACGCACCTCCCCTACACTTGCATCCTGCTCTTCTTCACTCCTAAAAGATGGTATACCTCCCTGGCCAGTGCATGAAATTACCGCCTCCCTGTCTTCGTTGACATTTAAAAGTTCCTCAAAATATTCTCGCCATCTACCCAATACCTCCATCTTGCCATCTGCCCAATACCTCCATCTCCCCATGTACTAACACCCCTACTCTGTTATTAACTGACAAATCCATTTGTTCCCTGGGTTTTCATAACTTGTTTAACTTACTCCAAATTTTTTTCTTATTTTCATTAAAATTTCTTGACAGTGCCTCTCCCACTCTGCTTTTGCACTCTCTCTCACCACTCTCTTCACCTTTCTTTTACTCTCCATATACTCTACTCTTCTTACAACACTTCTACTTTGAAAAAACCTCTCATAAGCTACCTTTTTCTCTTTTATCACACCCTTTACTTCATCATTCCACCAATCACTCCTCTTTCCTCCTGCACCCACCCTCCTATAACGACAAACTTCTGCCCCACATTCTAATACTGCATTTTTAAAACTATTCCAACCCTCTTTAACCCCCCCCCCCACTACTCATACTTGCACCAGCCACCTTTCTGCCAATAGTTGCTTATATCTCACCCGAACTTCTTCCTCCCTTAATTTATACACTTTCACCTCCCTCTTACTTGTTGTTGCCATTTTCTTCTTTTCCCATCTACCTCTTACTCTAACTGTACCTACAAGTAAATAATTATCCAATATATCAGTTGCCCCTCTAAAAACATGGACATCCTGGAGCCTACCCATCAACTTTTTATTCACCAATACATAATCTAACGAACTACTTTCATTACGTGCTACATCATACCTTGTATATTTACTTATCCTCTTTTTCATAAAATACATATTACTGATTACCAAACCTCTTTCTACACATAGCTCAATTAAAGGTTCCCCATTTACATTTACCCCTGGCACCCCAAATTTACCTACTACTCCCTCCACAACATTTTTACCCACTTTAGCACTGAAATCCCCAACCACAAGTACTCTCACACTTGGTTCAAAACTCCCCACGCATTCACTCAATATCTCCCAAAATCTTTCTCTCTCCTCTACAATTCTCTCTTCTCCAGGTGCATATACGCTTACTATAACCCACTTTTCACATCAAACCTTTATTTTACTCCACATAATCCTTGAATTAATACATTTATACTCCCTCTTTTCCTGCCATAGCTTATCCTTCAACATTATTGCTACTCCTTCTTTAGCTCTAACTATTTGAAACCCCTGACCTAATCCCATTTATTCCTCTCCACTTAAACTCTCCCACCCCCCACAGCTTTGTTTCACTTAAAGCCAGGACATCTAGCTTCTTCTCATTCATAACATCCACAATCATATCTTTCTTATCATTCGCACAACATCCACGCACATTCAGACATCCCACTTTGGCAATTTTTTTCTTATTCTTTTTAGTAATTATTACAGGAAAAGGGGTTACTAGCCCATTGTTCCTGGCATTTTAGTTGACTTTTACAATATGCATGGCTTACGGAGGAAAGATTCTTATTTCACTTCCCTTCTTTCTTCTTTCAACGTACCAGCCGTATCCCACTGAGGTGGGGTGGCCCAAAAGAAAAAACTGAAGTTTCTCCTTTTAAATTTAGTAATATATACAGGAGAAGGGGTTACTAGCCCCTTGCTCCCGGCATTTTAGTCGCCTCTTACGACACACATGGCTTACAGAGGAAGAATTCTGTTCCACTTCCCCATGGAGATAAGAGGAAATAAACAAGAACAAGAATTAGAAAGAAAATAGAAGAAAACCCAGAGGGGTGTGTATATATATGCTTGTACAGATATTGGCAGTTTGGAGGGATATGTTGTGTATCTTTATACGTATATGCTTCTAAACTGTTGTATTCTGAGCACCTCTGCAAAAGCAGTGATAATGTGTGAGTGTGGTGAAAGTGTTGAATGATGATGAAAGTATTTTCTTTTTGGGGATTTTCTTTCTTTTTTGGCTCACCTTGCCTCGGTGGGAGACGACCGACTTGTTGAAAAAAAAAAAAAAAAAAAAAACATGTATGTGTAGTGTGACCTAAGTGTAAGTAGAAGTAGCAAGACTTACCTGTAATCTTGCATATTTATGAGACAGACAAAAGACACCAGCAATCCTACCATCATGTAAAACAATTACAGGCTTTCGTTTTACACTCACTTGGCAGGACGGTAGTACCTCCCTGGGCGGTTGCTGTCTACCAACCTACTACCTACATTTCACTTCCCCTTGGATATAAAAGGAAAAGTAATAAGAACAAGAACTATCAAGATAAAATCCAAGAAAACTCAGATGAGTGTGTATAAATAAACATGTACATGTATATGGAAATATATGGGATTAAGTCAGGAGTATCTGAGAGAGTTAAAGCTAAGAAAGGGGTAGCAACAATGTTGAAGGATCAGTTATGGAAGAAGAAGAGGAATATAAAAGTATAATTCAAGGATTATGTGGATTAAAATAAGGGTCGGATGCAAAAAGTGG